GAAGACATGTTGAAATTCAAGAGAAGACATTTGATAAACATCAGAATCAGGAGTTATCAGGTGACGACGTGTTGAAATTCAAGTGAAGACATTTTATAAACATCAGAATCAGGAGTTATCGGGACGAAGACGTGTTGAAATTTAAGTGAAGACATTTTATAAACATCAGAATCAGGAGCTATCGGGTGACGAAGTGTTGAGATTCAAGTGAAGACATTTTATAAACATCAGAAACGCGAGTAATCAGGAGAACACGAGTTGATATTGAAATTCAAGTGACATGTTGAAATTCAAGTGAAATCATAAACATCAGAATCAGGAGTTATCGGGACGAAGACGTGTTGAAATTTAAGTGAAGACATTTTATAAACATCAGAATCAGGAGTTATCGGGTGACGACGTGTTGAAATTAAAGTGAAGACATTTTATAAACATCAGAATCAGGAGTTATCGGGTGACGACTTGTTGAAATTCCAGTGAAGACATTTCATAAACATCAGAATCAGGAGTTATCGGGACGAAGACGTGTTGAAATTTAAGTGAAGACATTTTATAAACATCAGAATCAGGAGTTATCGGGACGAAGACGTGTTGAAATTTAAGTGAAGACATTTTATAAACATCAGAATCAGGAGTTATGAGGTGAAGACGTGTTGAAATTCAAGTGAAGATTTTTTTTTTTATAAAATTTAATGAAGACATTTTATAAAATCAGGAGTTATCGGGTGCCCACAGACGTGTTGAAATTGACAATGCTTATAAACATCAGAATCAGTGAAGACATTTTATTTTATAAACATCAGAATCAGGAGCTATCGGGTGACGAAGTGTTGAGATTCAAGTGAAGACATTTTATAAACATCAGAATCAGGAGTTATCGGCACGAAGACATGTTGAAATTCAAGTGAAGACATTTTATAAACATCAGAATCAGGAGTTATCGGGATGAAGACATGTTGAAATTCAAGTGAAGACATTTTATAAACATCAGAATCAGGAGTTATCGGGACGAAGACGTGTTGAAATTAAAGTGAAGACATTTTATAAACATCAGAATCAGGAGCTATCGGGTGACGAAGTGTTGAGATTCAAGTGAAGACATTTTATAAACATCAGGAGTTATCACGTGTTGAAATTCAAGTGAAGACATTTCATAAACATCAGAAGCAGGAGTTATCGGGACGAAGACATGTTGAAATTCAAGTGAAGACATTTTATAAACATCAGAATCAGGAGTTATCGGGACGAAGACGTGTTGAAATTCAAGTGAAGACATTTTATAAACATCAGAATCAGGAGTTATCGGGTGACGACGTGTTGAAATTCAAGAGAAGACATTTTATATCAAACATCTGAAATTCAAGTGAAGACATTTTATAAACATCAGAATCAGGAGTTATCGGGACGAAGACATGTTGAAATTCAAGTGAAGACATTTTATAAACATCAGAAGCAGGAGTTATCGGGACGAAGACGTCAAATTCAAGTGAAGACATTTTATAAACATCAGCCTCAGGAGCGATCGGGTGACGAAGTGTTGAAATTCAAATGAAGACATTTTATTAACATCAGAATCAGGAGTTATCGGGTGACGACGTGTTGAAATTCAAGTGAAGACATTTTATAATACATCAATTCAAATGAAGACATCAGAATCAGGGTGTGACTTGTTGAAATTCCAGTGAAGACATTTCATAAACATCAGAATCAGGAGCTATCGGGTGACGAAGTGTTGAGATTCAAGTGAAGACATTTTATAAACATCAGAATCAGGAGCTATCGGGTGACGAAGTGTTGAGATTCAAGTGAAGACATTTTATAAACATCAGAATCAGGAGTTATCGGGACGACGTGTTGAAATTCAAGTGAAGACATTTTATAAACATCAGAATCAGGAGTTATCGGGACGAAGACATGTTGAAATTCAAGTGAAGACATTTTATAAACATCAGAATCAGGAGTTATCGGGTGACGACGTGTTGAAATTCAAGTGAAGACATTTTATAAACATCAGAATCAGGAGTTATCGGGATGAAGACATGTTGAAATTCAAGTGAAGACATTTTATAAACATCAGAATCAGGAGTTATCGGGACGAAGACATGTTGAAATTCAAGTGAAGACATTTTATAAACATCAGAATCAGGAGTTATCGGGTGACGACGTGTTGAAATTCAAGTGAAGACATTTTATAAACATCAGAATCAGGAGTTATCGGGACGAAGACATGTTGAAATTCAAGTGAAGACATTTTATAAACATCAGAATCAGGAGTTATCGGGACGAAGACGTGTTGAAATTCAAGTGAAGACATTTTATATACATCAGCAACAGGGGCTATCAGGTGATTTTTATCATATTCATTGGTATGTTTGTTTTGGGGTTTCATTTTTTTTTTTTTTTTTAAGTTTTAAATCTTTTTAATGTTTAGAGTTGTTGATATGTGGAATCATCTGCCCACACAAATTGTACTTGAAAATACATTTAGAGAATTTGAACATTTGCTAGATATACAGCACCAGGAAATAGTCTGTGAATACTAGAACTATAACTTGTATCAATTTATGAGTCATTGATATTACAGATATTTTGGAGGTGTGTGTTTTTTCAAGTAAATTCAAGTGAAGAGGTCTCTTTAACATCAGAATCATGAGTTATCGGGTAACGACGTGTTGAAATTCAAGTGAAAACATTTTATAAATATCAGAATCAGGAGTTATCAGGTGACGACGTTTTGAAATTCCAGTGAAGACATTTTATAAACATCAGAATCAGGAGTTATCAGGTGACGACGTGTTGAAATTCAAGTGAAGACATTTTATAAACATCAGAATCAGGAGTTATCGGGACGAAGACATGTTGAAATTCAAGTGAAGACATTTTATAAACATCAGAATCAGGAGTTATCGGGACGAAGACATGTTGAAATTCAAGTGAAGACATTTTATAAACATCAGAATCAGGAGTTATCGATATGAAATTCAAGTGACGAACGTGTATGAAATTCAAGTGAAGACATTTTATAAAGTGTTGAAATTCAAGTGAAGACATTTTATAAACATCAGAAACGCGAGTAATCAGGAGAACACGAGTTGATATTCAAGTGAAGACGTCTTATAAACATCAGAATCAGGCGTTATCGGGTGACGACGTGTTGAAATTCAAGTGAAGACATTTTATAAACATCAGAATCAGGATTTATCGGGACGAAGACATGTTGAAATTCAAGTGAAGACATTTTATAAACATCAAAATCAGGAGTTATCGTGTGACGACGTGTTGAAATTCAAGTGAAGACATTTTATAAACATCAGAAGCAGGAGTTATCGGGACGAAGACATGTTGAAATTCAAGTGAAGACATTTTATAAACATCAGAATCAGGAGTTATCGGGACGAAGACATGTTGAAATTCAAGAGAAGACATTTGATAAACATCAGAATCAGGAGTTATCGGGTGACAACGTGTTGAAATTCCAGTGAAGACATTTTATAAACATCAGAATCAGGAGTTATCGGGACGAAGACGTGTTGAAATTCAAGTGAAGACATTTCATAAACATCAGAATCAGGAGTTATCAGGTGACGACGTGTTGAAATTCAAGAGAAGGCATTTTATAAACATCAGAATCAGGCACAGCAGTCAATCTCTCTGACCACACCCTTAGTGCCCAAGAGACTTCAATGCTCTCTAAGGGCTTAAATTTCTGTTCCATCCCACGGAATCCAATTAACGCGGAATTAGTACAGGCTATGGATAGCTTCTATAGCCGACCCCGTCTTTGCGTAGCCTTTGACGAAGAAACGGATGACTCTTGAGAATTTCATTAAAAATTTTCTAAGTTTCACCAAGAAATAAGCACGGATTCCCGGACACTCACCAGTGCTTTCGCCCATCCAGTTGCCACCCTACACCAAAAGGGGCATTTCATACTCAAAAGCGTTGAGAATCAGACGTATTGTTTCTGATATCGACGTTTTTAGACGCCGTTGCGTAGAACTGAAGTCCCATCAACTCAACAGGGGATAAAGAGCAGCTCGGATTGACCGCGAAATCAAGAGAGTTAAATAATTAGATAGGGCTAGTACACTCGAATACCAAGTCCGACCAAAAACTGGGAGAGTACCATTTATGGTAACCATTCATCCCAGCATGCCACTATTGACATCAACCTTCCAGAAACACTGGCAAATCGTGCTGTCATCAAGTAAACTTCAAAACGTATTCCGGGAACCATCCTCCCCTTAATAAAAAAAAAAAAAACGGAAAACATTAAATTTTCTTGCAATACTTAATGCATATTTTTATTTAGTTAATATTTCTGCTTTTCTTCCTATTCCTATCAGGAGGTAGAAAATTTTAAGTTTTGGTACGACATTTCTTTGGGCGAGTTAACAAACCTGGGGACTATTTGACCGTATTCAAAATAATGTTTTTATATAAGTTTTTGTGCATTTGAATGGTGATTTTTTTTTCAGATTACTTATTGCAACTACACATACATTCATTATTGTTTTACACTATATTTTTCTTATCAAACAATTCCTCAGTTAGAACGTGTCCCAGATGTACCGGTAGACCAGGTATACCACTTTTCCTCGGAGTGTGACATTCAATTGTTTTCGCTGCGGTCCAATATATGCTCAGTGTCTAGAGTACAAAACATACCAAGATTGATATCAAACATTTTTGATATTTTAATCACCATCTTCAATACTAGTGATTTTTTTGTCCTTTCGAAAGGGCCTTCGGCGTCGATCGGCCAAAGGGATTATCAACACACCTAAATTTACACCACCGCTCTCGATTTAGATTTATAACTTTACATTTGTTTTATGTCCATATGTAATTTATGTTATAATTGTGTATTGATAAAGGGACAGGTTGCCTCGAAAACTGGCTTGGTAGAGCTTTATCCAAGGAATCTTCCTGCCAAATATCATTACTCTAAGCCTTTTGGTTAGTCAAAAGAAGTCGTTTAAAGGTTTTAACAAATTTGATCCCTGTGACCTAGAATAAAGGTCAAGTTCATTTCTTTTCGCAATCTTTGTAGAACTTTATCCAATGAACCTTCCAGCCAAATATAATAATTCTAGGCCTTCCAGTATTTCAGAAGTCGTTTAAAGGTTTTAACAAATTTGACCTCTCTGTCCTTGAATAAAGGTCAGGGTCATTTCTTTTCCCAAACTTGGTAGAGCTTCACCCAAGTTAGTCTGAAGAAGTTGTTTAAAGGAAAAGATGACGCTGGACAAACGACGGACACCGCGCCAGGGCATAAAAAGTTAGAAAGTCCGGAAAATAATATTCCCAGAGAATTTTCTAAGTTCAAAGGGGCATAACTCTGCCAAGAAGGGTTATAGACAGCCGGGAATCAAACTTAATCTGTACCCTCCCAACAAAAAGCCATATAACAAATTTCATTTTGATGACTCAAAGCATAATCTAATAAAAGTCTGGAAAAATTTCGTACAGACGACGACTTTGTACTTAAGTTTTCACTACCGGGGGATCATCTTTGGTTGGTTCTTTTGGCACTCTTGGTTGTTCTACGATTGTTTTCCACAATGCTTCATTAGTTGTTGATGAAATAAAATTTTCCTTTGCTCTTGCTTTTTTGTAATAGTAAAGATCTTGCTTTAAATCTGCATGTAATCCAGACTTGTCAAGATCTACTATAGCAGCAAAATTTTTCCGGGTTAAAAAAGTAAAATTCAAGAAAATCCAAATCACAATTATGGTAAAAACATTCAGCTGGTTCTTTTTTGTCCCTGGAGACCATAACTCAAGCTGTTCCTTTATGTACAGCAAGATGTCATTTTCTGGGTCATAAAGACAAATAGAAACATGATCAGATGTGGTTCCAATAGTTGGAATTAAGAAATGTGACAGTGCACTCCTATTACTGTTAACTTGAGCAAATCCATTTGTTATAGCTTCAGCTATGATTTGTTCTAAAACCTTTTGATCCAGAAGAACATTTTCATGTCTTCTGCTGGTGTTCACTTCAACACAAATGTTACATTTTTTACCAGTTTCTATCTTTCTTTGTTTTCTTTCAGGTTCACAACTTGCATCATCATCTTCCTCTTCACATTTGTCTGTCTGTTCCTTCCCAAGTGCCACCACAACAGTATTGTTCAGGAGGATGTCTACTCTGCCATGCCACGTCATTTCTGACCCTGAGTTAAAAATATAAACATAGGCTATAAAATGCCAGCAGTGTTGTTTAATTTCAAGTGTGGTGATTGTCATTCATATGTGATTTTTACTGTCTTAAGGGTTCTGCTCCAGATATATACCATCCCAAAGGGCATGTGTGATTTAGTTTGCTTAGGTTGGGGACTTCAACAGTTTCAAAGATATAACCAATATATTAAGTCCAGAGGGGTAGAGCCACACCCAAGGATAGTTCTTACACCATGAATATGTTTTTATTTCTTTATGCCCATCACTGCTATATACCTCGGGTATGGGGTGTTAAAAAGTAATAATTAATTTCCCCTATAGACCTAGGGGGCCAAGACCCATCATTTAAACAAAATGATTCACCTTCATACAAACATGCTTCAATTCAAATTTGAGCAAAATTCATTCATTGTTACAAGAAGAGTAGAATTTTAAAGAACTTGCTCTTATTTGTCTATTAACGACACTGGCCCTTCTGACCCAGTGGTCCAAGACCCAACGTTTATCAAAAACAGATTTTCCTTTACCCAAACATCATTCACGCCAAATTTGGTCAAAAAGCTATGATCCTACAGGAGGAGTAGGATTTCAAATAATTTGCTCTATTTCTCCTATTTGCCCTAACCTCTCCCACCATCAGGAATTTGAGACTCAACATTCATAAAACTGATTCCGCTACACCCAGCAATGCTTCACACCAATTAAGCACAAAAGCCAATCATTTCTAATAGAAAAGTAGGATTTTTAAGAATTTGCTCTATTTCTCCTAATGGGCCTCAATCTTCAGTCCTAGTTATGCAAAAATGATTATCCTAGACCTAACAATCCTTCAGAAAACAAGAGGCCCAGAGGGCCTGTATCACTCACCTGGATATTTATTACCAACAGTAATACATGTTTGCATATGTTCCAGAGTCGATGCTTAAAGAAATATGACAAATTACCCAACTTGGGTTCAGTCCCTCAGTAGTCTGCCCCTCCGTGCAATGTTGAATTCAGACTACCTTACAATGTTTCCAGTTAATTGTAATTGATAGCTTTCATTTAAATAAAGGAAAGAAGATCTGCCAAGAAAACTCCCAACCAAATATATCCCTTTAATTAAGTCATTTGAAGGTTCCACATATTTGTATATAAGTCTTTGACAAACCTTTATTGGGCAAATATGATGGCCTTTTGGTTAATCAGAAGAAGTTGTTTAATGATTTTAACAAATTTTACCCCTATGACATTGAATAAAGGTCAAGATCATTTCTTTTTGCAAACTTTGTAGAACTTTATCCAAGGAACCTTCATACCAAATATCACTACTCTATGTTTTTCGGTTAGTCAAAAGAAGTCGTTTAAAGGTTTTCAACTAATTTGACCCCTGTGACCTAGAGTAAAGGTCAAGGTCATTTCTTTTATCAAACTTTGTTAGCCTTCAGCCAAGGTACCTTTTGACCAAATATTATGCTGCCAGGCTTTTTGGTTAATCAAAAGAAGTCGTTTAAAGTTTTTAACAAATTTGACCCCTGTGGCCTTGAATAAAAGTCAAAGTCTTTTCTTTTCGCAAACTTAGTAGAGCTTCATCCAAGGTACCTTCTTGCCAAATATAATGATTCCAGGCCTTCTGGTATTTTAAATGAAGTCATTTAAATTTTTAAACACATTTGACCTCTTTGACCTTGAATATGGTAAAGGTCATTTCTTTTCGCAAACTTTCTTGGGCTTAATCAAAGGAACCTCAAGCCAAATATAATGATTCTAGGCATTCTGGTATTTCGGAAGAAGTTATTTAAATGTTTAAACACATTTGACCTCTGTAATCTTGAATATGGGTCAAGGTCATTTCTTTTCACAAACTTGGTAGAGCTTTACCAACGGAACCTTCCTGCCATATATCATTACTCTTTGCCTTTTGGTTAGTGAGAAGAAGTTGTTTAAAGGAAAAGTTGACGCCGGACGGACGCCGTACGACGCGTCATGGGCAGGTGAGCTAATAAACTGATTAGTTGTTATAGTATTATTTTGCTGCTCCATTACACAAGGCTCAAAATGTATATCGACTGCATAGAGTATGCCATTGCACCCTGTGACCTGTTACTTTTGACCGTTTTAATATACAATCAGTAGGTGTTGTCTGCTACCAATGTCCAACTTCATCAGTATCAAGCAAAGGGTTCTCAAGATATTGAGTGGAAACCAATTTCATAAATACTGCAATGCACCCGGTGACCTTTGACCTATTGAATTGTTTTGGTAACCATACCATAACTTAACAAAGAAATTATCATTATATATCTGTATGCCGAATTACATTTCAATATGTCAACTCGTTGCAGAGATACAGAATGGAAACTGTGAATTATTGAAAATTTTCGAAGTTAAAGGGGCATAACTCTGTCAACAAGAGCATTGCTAATGATGCAAAATACGCCTGTTGCGTTTCTTTCCAAAAAATATGCATGTATACCTCAGATAATTTTCTAACCGTGGGGCGTTAAAAATAAAAGTCAGAGTTATGGAACTTTGCCTGGGAGAAGGTCTTATAACCTAAAAGACATGTTTGAAGTTTCAAGTCAATAGCCCCATGAGTTCCAGAGAAAAGAACTTAACATGAAATTTCTAAGTTAAAAAATATAATATAAATGCAAATATAATGAACATAAACCAACCGACCCACCGACCGACAGTGGCAAAGCAATATGCCCCACCTTCTTCTATATAAATATAGCCAATTTGACACTTTTAAGCCCTGCCCCTTAAGACCCCAAGGGGGGTCAGCCCAATCATTTGTATCAATCTGAATCCCAGTGACCTGGGGATACTTTCTGCCAAATATGATGAAATTCCAATCATCGCTTCCAGAGAAGAAGATGATTATATAAATATATAGCCATTTTGACACTTTTTAGCCCTGCCCCTCAGGCCCTGAGGGGTCAGCCCAATCATTTGTATAAATCTGAATCCTGGCAACCTGGGGATACTTTCCGCTACATACGATGAAATTCCAATCATTGCTTCCAGAGAAGTAGTCAATAATATAAATATATCCGAATTTGACCCTTTTTAGCCCTACTCCTTAGGCCCCTGTGGATCAGTCAAATCATTTGTATAAATCTGAATCCACACCACCTAGGGATAATTCTTACAGTATGTACTTGAATTGACATCAGCAGTCCCACAGAAGAAGTCGATTATATAAATATAGCCTATTCAACACTTTTTAGCCCTACTCCTCAGGCCTCCAGGGGGTCAGCCCAATCATTTGTATAAATCTGAATCCCAGCGACCTGGGGATACTTTCCGCCACATATGATGAAATTCCAATCATCTCTTCCAGAGAAGAAGTAAATTGTTGACAGACGACAGATGAAGGATGCCACAGTATGGCATTAGGTCACCTTGGTCCTTCGGACCAGGTGAGCTAGCAAGAGGCCCAATGGGCCTGAATCACTCACATGGTACATGATATATTAGGAGTCATTTAAAGGTTTTCATATATTTGACTACTGTGACCTTGAATAAAAGTTAAGGTCAATTCTTGTCACAAACTTTGTAGGGCTTCTTCCAAGAAACCTACCTGCTAAATATCATGATCAAAAACTTTTCGGCTAGTCAGAAGAAGTTTTTAAAGGTTTTGAACTAATTTGACCCCTATGACATCGAGTTAAAAGTCAAGGTCATTTCTTTTCACAAACTTTGTAGAACTTTATCCAAGGAACCTACCTACCAAATATTGGTAAGTATAAGAAGTCATTCAAAGATTTGAACAAATTTGACCTCTGTGACTTTGAATATGGGTCAAGGTCATTTCTTTTCATAAACTTTGATGGGCTTCATCAAAGGAACCTTACAGCCAAATATAATGATAACAGGCCTTTCGGTTAGTGAAAAGAAATGGACTTTATCAAAGGAACCTTCCAGCCAAATATAATAATTCCAGGCCTTGCGGTATTTCGGAAGAAGTCGTTTAAAGGTTTAAACACATTTGACCCTGTGACCTTGAATATGGGTCAAGGTCATTTCTTTTCGCAAACTTTGAAGAACTTTAACCAAGGAACCTTCTTTCCAAATTCCATTACTCTATGCCTTTGGGTTAATCAGAAGAAATCATTTAAAGGTTTCAACAAATTTTACCCCTGTGACATTTAATAAAGGTCAAGGTCATTTCTTTTCGCAAACTTAGAAGAACTTTAACCAAGGAACCTTCTTTCCAAATATCATTACTCTATGCCTTTCGGTTAGTCAGAAGATGTCATTTAAACAAATTTGACCCCTATGATATCAAGTAAAGTTCAAGGTCATTACTTTTCACAAACTTTGTCAGCCATGCTTCTAGGCTTTTTGGTTAATCAGAAGAAAATGTTTAAAGATTTTAACAGATTTGACCCATGTGACCTTGAATATGGGTCAAGGTCAATTCTTTTCTCAAACTTTGTGAAGCTTCAATCCAGGAACCTACATGCCAAATATCATGCTACTTGGCCTTTTTGGATATTGAGAAGAAGCCATTTAAATAAAAAAAAATTGACACCGGAAGACGCATGGAGGGATGGACAGACAGACGACGGACACTGCACCATCCCATAAGCTCACCGGCCCTTCGGGCCATGTGAGCTAAAAATGGGACTTGGAAATTATTTCGCCTCACATGGAATTTCCACTCAAGCAATTTTGAGACAAGTGACACCCTATCATGAAGCTTACATAATGATTTATGACAGCAGGTTAGATATTTCAAAGAAAAACAAACAAAATTAAAGAAAATCCCTTTGCTAGTTATAGAAATAAAAGCAGATTACAAATTTTTTGGTTAAAAAACAATTTCTGTAAGAAACAAATCAGTTTGGCACATCAGAAAGTTAAAATTTGGGGTTTAGATATCTGAAAAAAACATGTCAACTGTTAATGTCACATTCCACTTATCACATATTCCTTTGACAAACGAAAAATGATATTAAGCAGCTCCCAGTGGACCACTAAATCAGTAATTGATAATAAGGTAATTGCAAAGAGATCCAATCTTGAGCTTTTTGCTATTGTGATTAATCAACTTTACCATGAATAAAGTGGTCTTCTGTTTTCTATATTCTTGTCATTTTTATGACAAACATATTGCTTTGATAGTAACTTGGTATCATATTTCATAGAAAGGTATTGAAACAACTGCAAATATATGGTGCTGCCTTCCCATCTAAAAAATTATGTCTCTAGAAGTTAACCTTCGACAAGAAAGTAAATGGATTACAACTTTCATCTTTAAAGTCGATCAAGAATTGGGCACATAGACAGATCATAGAGAAGGGGGGATTTGATCATCCAACCATCTAATGATAATGTCTTAAATCTAAGGATAATAGCTAGCTTACTATTAAGCATTCAGCTTAACTACATGACCAGATAAATTCTTAGATATACAGATACATAGATTTACGGACAACACAATATGTGCTTCGGTAAAACCCCACATTTATCTTACCTAATGAGGTGTTTCCTGCACAAATATTGGCCTTACAGCCACAGCCACATGTTGTTGGAAGTTGCTTTGCATATTTATCAACCTCATACTCCTTGCCTGGCACCAATTGAGAAAACAGGTGATGGGCTAATGCAACTATAATCTGAGTTTCTTTATTTCCACTTGTTGGCAGAGTGGATGTGATTAGTCTCCTAAGTGACCTTTCATGTTGTTCACGTCCTGGAAAAAAAATGGTCATTAAACTCATGAAGTACTGAAAGTAACATATATACATATATGTGGCATGTAAGTTGTGATTGGGAACACCACCTCGGTTCAAAAGAGGACAAAATGGACCTGAAACGCTTACCTATTCTGACCCTTCCATTTGATTGATTTTTTATTTGATTTAAACATACTTTATTTAAAATGGATCAGGCATAATTTATCACAACTTAACATTGCCTTCTCCAAAAGATTTCATTATACAAGTTACATCACAACAATAACAATTTTTGATCAAATATATAGATATACAAATAAAGAAAGATGGGGGAGGGGGGGGGGAGGGGGGGGGAAAGAAGGAAGAAAGAAGAATGGAGTAGGAAATAGATTTGTAAAGAAATTATCTATAAATATGCTACTAACCTTAAAATATTTTACAATTTTTTATGTATGTTTGAACTTAAAGAAAAATACTTTCACTATCTTCATCAGACAAGATTGAGGAACCAGAAAGAATAACATCAATACAAGCATTACAGTAATGCGCGATACAATCTATCATAACTTGTCTTTGTTGTGTATACAATATACAATCAAAGAAGTAATGAATTACATTTTCACACCCATTGCCACATACGCATGTTGGATCGCTCACAATATTTACTCTATACAAATCATACTTTAAACTAATACATGATTGACGCAATCACATATGTAAAATATTTCGTGAAAGATTTCCAACATCAAAAATCATAGGTAACAGGTCATTTTGGTGAATCAATAACTTAAAACTGTTTACGGATGGCTGTGCACTGACACCCTTCTGTTCATATGAAGTATTTGATTCTACAATATCTGGGTTGTGAGAAGAGGATGAAATAATGTAAGTCAATTCAATCCTCTTCATCCCCGCCCATCAGCTCCTGGGAGTAAGCCTGAGTAAGCTCGAAGATATCACACTCAACATGTGTATGAACCAGAGAAGACTTAAACCCCATTTTAAGGCAAACATGGAGCCCGGAAATCATAAAATTCTTAATTTGGATTAGTACCAAAGATTTTTACATCTATGAAGAGTTTTCCATAAAATTTGTTACTACTGTATCTTGGTCAGGAGAAGACTGTTGAAATTTAAACCATTTGGCCCTTTTATGGTTCCACACCGGAGTCGCTGGGGGCAGGCCACAGGATCAAAGTGGCTCTAGTAAACTGTCTCACCAACAAGCATCTTTTTTAGTTTAATTGGCAAAGTAAGCTTACACTATACTACAGTATCCATCTACCATCCTCAGTCAACGTTTTCCCTTACATGAGGTCCATTGGCCTAAATGGTCACTCACAAAAGTGAAACAATTGGAATGAATGTGAAGTATGAAGAAGGCAAAATGGGAGAAATTGGCGTCACAAAATTTACAACTTTGGTAACGCACCTTTAGACACTTTCATCCAAAAACAGTATTTGGGTCTACTTTATCTGGCAATTAAAAAGAAGAGGTTTTTTTTCAAATTTCAGCCAATCTCACCCTTTTCAACCCAACCAATCAGCCCCTTGTGGTCAGCTAGGAATATGTGTATATTGTCAAACTGTGATCTTGTAATAATAATTCAAAACAAGTTTGAAATATTTCCAGTAGGATATAAACAAATTTTTCCCAACAAGAGATCAAGCAGCTTTGATGATCACCAGAGATGAACTATATTGAATAAAAAAAGTTAAAGGTTAAGTATTTTTCAAGTGTCATGAAAAAGAAATTGTGACATTAATTAGAGTCAGCCAGTGTCAATGCATGTCATCAAAACTGTCATCCAAAAGTAATAATTCTTACAAAGTTAATTCCAATGGAAAATAAACAATATACTCAAAAATGCAATTTTTCTATCAAAATTATTGTAAAGTTTACCTCTTCCCTGAGTCAATATGACCCCATCAGCCCCTGGGGGTCAGCCAGGATTAGTACAGACATACTTTCAAGCCATCATCCTTTGCTCATATTCCTAACCAATTTTAAAATATTTCCACTAGAAATTAAACAATTTATGCTCAAAAATCTATTTTTCCTATATAAACTATAGTAAACTTTACCCCCTTCCAAACGGAAATGTGAGATCCTGGGGCCATGAAATTCACAATTTGGTAAAGCTCTGTTAAGAGCATTTGAATCTACCATATCTGGGTTTTGAGAAGATTTGCATCAAATTCATTAGGCCCCATCCCTCAGACCCTGGTAGGGTGGGAACAGGGTAATTCATTATTTTTGTTCATCATAGGCCATATACGGTTTCTGCAAAATTTCTTTGAAACCTGTTCAGGGTTTTTTGGGAGAAGTAGAAAATGTTAAAATAGGCACGACGCCAGACAAAGGTGATGGTAATAGGTAACCAGAAGACTCTGTATCAGGTGACCTAAAAAGACAATATTTTTCCATATCATCATGACAAAGCAGAACAGATGACATGAGATTATGTGTAATTTTTACTTTTATGTAGAGTGTCACTTACTTCATATAACTGTTTAATTGACAACATTATGGATGTTCACATTAAAATGTATAAATATGGCACAATCAAGAGTTATTCCCCTTTTTTACATATATATACCCCCAATATTAGACCTAAAGGTTACATAAGGCACAAAATAGAAATATTTCAGTGAATTCTAGGTGTATTTGAGTATATTTGATAGTATTTAGGTATATTTCGGTGTATTTGAGTAATAAGAATACCAAAGGCACTTCAAGACACTGTGCATAATATATCAAAATAAGTAGTTATCAGAATATAACTCTGTGAAGCTTAAAAATAATCTATCCTCTAACTGGAAATTACCAAGAAAAAATATTTTCAATATTCAACAAGTAATATTATGAACAATGACACTGTAAACTTGAAGTTGAGACAAAATTTGGGTGACAACACTTAAATTTGAAAAAGTGACAGAGAACCTATGATGCATATGTTTGTCTAAGATAGGTAAGCCTAAATTAACATACAGTAAAACTTAACTGTGTCAAACATACTTGAATCATATACATTAGATAAGTTGAATGTTTCTTTTTTCTGGTTCTGATTTTTTCTCTTCATCTTAGATCAAACACAAATGACTCAAACATTGTTGATTTGAATACTGTGTTTGCATCGTATATATTTTTTGGTCCATCCCTTCTAAATTCTACCAAAATTCCCTTTTATTTGTCGAACATTCAGGCGTCACCTTGTCTCAGGTAAATATATCCTGGCTTCAGTCTGGTTGACTTGATGTGATCGGTCAGCGATATCCATGATAACGAGCTCTATTGTAATTTTCGACTGAAATGTGTTTCCACACCGGTGAAAGTTAGAATTTATACTGAAGTAGGCAACCAAACTTAAAACAAAAGACTCTGTAGTCTGTTAACTGTAAATCAACTATGTTTTGTTTACTTTTTCATAAGCATGACTGCTGAAAACCAAAGGAAAAAAACAAGAGGCCCATGGGCCTTAACAGTCATCTGACTACAACAAGATGGCCACCTGACGACCATGTTGGATTTCGGACCGACCATAAAAATAACACTTGGTCAGGACCATGTCCTAATTATTTTAGGCAAGTTTCAGTTCCAGTGGACCAGTAGAAATTGAGAAGTTTAAATTGTAAATTCAAAATAGCAGCCAGCTTGGATGTCAGACCGACCTGAAAAGTATCAACACACTTGGTCAGGACCATCACAGGATCTTTTCAAGCAATCTGACAGAGTCCCCATCCCCTGAAGATGCTTCATACCGAATTTGGACAAAATCCTTTGAATTTTGCATAAGCTGACACTTTTTATAGCTATTTGCACCTAAATACCCCTATTGGGCCGCGCCCCTCAGGCCCCAGGGGGCCTAGACCCATTGTTTATACAAGCTTGAATCTCCTTCCCCTGAGGATGCTTCAGACCTAATTTGGTCAAAATCTGGTGACTTTTGAAACAGTTGAAGCATTTTATAGTTATTTGCACCTAATTACCCCTATTCGGCCTCGCCCCTCAGGCCCCAAGGGGCCGAGACCCATTGTTTATACAAACCTGAATCCTCTTCCCCTGATTTCTTCAGATCAAATTTGGGCAAAATTCTTTGACTTTTGCATGAGCTGAAACTTTTTATATCTATATGCACTTTATTACCCCTATTGGGCCCTGCCCCTCAGACTCAAAGGGGCCGAGACTACCATGACATTGCAGCGGCCTTCACCTTTTCGTAACCCTCCTCAGTGCTATACCAATGTTATATCAATGTAGAATGAGTATGTATTAATTGAGTTTTATATTAAGATATTGTTGACGGGACTCGTTACTCTTAGGGATGTGAATATTTTTCTTTCGGTATCAATTTCGAGTTTCGAGAGTGGGTGTTTATACATGTGTGTGCAGCAATGTCGGGTGTCTTATGTTACATTTTTTGTTTTGTATTTGTACTTATAACTGTTTTTATACATTTGTTACTTATTTATTACTATTACACCATGCTATGAGACATGTATACAGTAAACAGTCAATGAAAATGAGGTCAATCTTCATTGCACAATGTCTCCGTTCATAGAAACACGTCTACTGGAACCGTCAGATAAGTTGAACATTTCATTTGGTCCTGCCCACTTCAACTTATGTTTTACTGTACAAATGAATTAAAATGATGAAACATTGGTTGATTTAAGCTATCACAAAAACGAACAGTGACAGTTCAAGATAAACAATATCAGAGACAAATGATGTGTTATGCCAATGCCGAATGGGCTAAACAATAGATCCTAGAGCGATATTTGCGACATAACTGTGTGATTATTTTCTCTATCAAATTGGTTCCAAAATTAAATGCACACATCTTGGAATCAAAGGTAAACATATATCATATGTACAAACATCAGAATTATATATCCAGTAATTCTCAATGCAAGATATTTCAAGAAATTAAACAAATGAAAACTGTCAATATCTATGAAAGCTACCTGTCAGCCAGTATTTACAAACAGAAGGTAACCACCATCCTAAGATCTTTATTTATTCTCTGAAAGTTGGATCTTTTCCCTTCTTTTCTGTTTTTGCTCTTAATGATAAGAACTCCGAACAATCATCAACTGCTAAATCCAAGACGACCACCTGTTAGCCATTTTGTTTATTTGATCATTCCCAAAATCAAACGAGCACAACTAGGGACCAAAGGGAACCAATATAGGAAATTTGAGAGAGATCCATCTCGCACTTCTCAAGGAATCACAAAAACAAACTTCCAAAAGTGAAAGTCCAAGAAGGCTGCCTGTCGGTCATTTTGTTAACCTGATCAGTCCCAAAATCAAAAGGGCAAAAAAAGTTTGTTTTCTGATCAGTCCCATAATTAAACAGGCTTAACGAGGGACAACGGGGAATATACATAGGAAATTGGAAAGAGACCCATAGATTACTTCTCAAGAAATAGTAATAACAATCATCAATAGGCAAAATCCAAGATGGCTGCTCTTTGGCCATTTTGTTTTTCTGATCAGACTCAAATTAAAACCGACACAATTTGAGACCAAAGTGAACCTACATTTGAAATCTGGAAAAATCTATCCAGCGCTTATCAAGAAATAGCAATAACAACCTTTAATGAAAAAATCCAAGAAGGCCGATTGTTGGGCATTTGATTTTTTTATATAAGTCCCAAAATCAAATGGGCACAACTAGGGACCAATGGGAACCTACATATGAAATTTAAGAAAGATCAACTGAGTACTTCCCAAGAAATAGTGATAACAAACATCATTGAAAAAATCCAAGATGGCTGTCTGTCAGCCATTTTGCTTTCCTGATCAGACCAAAAATCAAACTGCACAACAAGGGACCAGCAGGAACCTACATATGAAATTAAAGAAAGATCTGTGCAGTACTCTTCAAGAAAGTGCAGTACTCTTCAAGAAATAGCAATAACAACCTTGTTGAGACAAAATCCAAGATGGCCACATGTCTGCCATTTTGTTTTTCTGATCAGACCCAAAATCAAATGGGCACAACTAGGAATCAAACAAATCAAAGATTTTCCCTGATATTTCTGACATGAATTCCATGGTTATAACCCTTAAAAATACTTAAAATGAAAAAATACTGCTTATTTAGTCTTAACACTGCAACTTTACAAAAGAAATTTATTTCTGAACACCTGCTTTTAATCAACAACACTGTCATGGTAAAAAAAAATACTTACATTTCAGCAAATTCAAACTAGGAATGCCTTCACAATATGAACATGTGTAAACACTGGAAATTTCACTTCTGTAAAGCTCGTTTTTGGTGTGTAACTGCCAAAATAGTAATCTCTAACACAATGCCAACTTTTACTTTTAATTGAAACCTGCATAATGGGGCAATCTAATGAACAAAAATATCACCATGACCACAAGAAACCGTGTACTGTTACATAGATATCAAGGGCAGGGGTGTTCAGTTATGCTAGCACAAAACCTGGGTCTTGCGATTTTCAGGTCAGGGCAAGATGTGGGCTAGTGATTTTTTTTCTGTTCTTAATCTGCATTAAAAGCCAATCTGTTTCTATACTCATTGGTCTGGATAGTTAAATTTCACAACCACATGAGGTTTCCATCCATCCATCAAGATTCTCAAACGTAAAGAATACACTCATCTAGGTGTATCAAACACTTTAATATACATGTACAATGTAAAGGAATTAATTTCTTTCATGTTAATTATCAACTTATTGCACAGTAACTAGACAAACAGTATCATTTATACATGTAGTTTGATAAGCAACACAGATTTGATTAATTCTGCTGAGAAATCAGCATTTAGTGTTAATTGAAAAATTCCAAACGTGGGGCTAGTAGTTTTGATCAGGGCCAGTGAGGAAAAAGTGGCTCATGATCACTAGCCCTTAGGCTTAAGTAAAAATTTCAGAACTGAACACCCCTGAAGGGGAACTTACATATGAAATTTGAGAGAGATCCATCCAGTACTAATACTTATATCGTCTCGACATTGGTTCCCGACCATCATGTACTTCAGAACAACCATTTTGTTGAACCATATCACAAGAGCTTTTGACCTGTGTGACCTTGCACCTGATAATTTCTGTTACTTTAGCATTATTGTCACACTTCCAGTAAAGAATAAAAAAAAAGTGATTTAAACAATTCACCATAAAATATCATGAGTATAGGTCATTGTAATGTTTCTTATACACAATTTTACATGTCAAATATCCTCTCAGATGTAATGAAATAACCTATCAAACCATCCTCTGATGTCAATGCTTTGTTGTTGTCCGTCATGTGAATAAAACTCGACCATGAATGAAAGGCCAGGCTTTTTTTTTTTGTCTATGGAAGTTCAAAAACATGTATACCTTGTATTGAAAAATGATGATCACTTCTGATTTTATTTAATTAGCAAGTTGTAGACAGAGAAATGAAAAAAACAATTCTATTTAAATAATTTGTGTTGTATAAAAAGAAGTTTATCAAGAAATTTGGCTTATTTAAGAAAAAAAGGACTAAACAATAAAAACTTGAATCTACCCTTTATAAAAGTAATCACAGTTATCCACTATTTTTGCATCATATAATTTTAATTGTCATGAAAATGGCGTTCCCGTTCAAATGATGATTTGGTGTAAAATGTGTACTTCTTGACCACATTAAGCTAACTCAAGCATCTCTGTGATTTAGTGATGTTGTCACAGACAAATGTCCAATACACATGTCGATCAATTCAGGTGAGCGGATTAGATGTTGTATCTGTGACTTTTTTTTTCAGAAAAATACATGTCTTTTTAAATATATCATTATAAGTCATTTATATACTTGTTTGACAGCAGTTAATTGGCATAGCATAGGGTGGTCAGGTGGCGCAGTGATAACGCCCTCGCCTTTCACCTAGCCGTCCGGGGTTTGATTCCTGGAACGGACGTGAATAGGTAAGAGGTCACCTGCCCGACCACATGGGTTTTCCCCAGGTAATCCGGTTTCCTCCCACCATAAGACCCCTCGCGTGCTTACATCCGGGCCAAACAGAGTGATTAGGATAAGTTTAAATAACTTGTTTCACAATTGTTGTAAAATAAATAAAGTTCATATTTTATATGGCAAAGGATATGTGTAATTCTGCCGCATGTATAAGAAAAGGAAGTGCATCAAACATATTGATATTTTACTTTTTGATCATTTTCAGAAATATATGATCTTACAAAAAACCATTGCCATAACAAAAGCCTTTTTTGAACTACGTTCATATATTTATTCGTTAAGTCAAAAAATAGCATTAACGTTACCACGAAGAAATCCCAACAACGCTACGAATGGTTGACGACAAACATCTGAATGCATCTCGATGGCGTCTACTCCCCTTTTTTGAAAATCTTCAAGGACAGAACTATTTAAAATGTCCTTCATGTAAACGAGTCCACACTCTGGAAATTTACTTATATAACTTGCAGCCTCACCACTTTCATGATTTAGTCGAAGATACACTGAAGCATCGCTAAACGACTTCCCTGCAACAGCATTACTGTTTTTTATAACTAAATTGAGGAACTTAGGCACAGGAGAAACTGTTTTTGTGCAAATGATACCCAATACACTTTTAATGCTCATCTCCTCTTCAGATCCCTTGAAATCCTTAATGGAAAACTGGTCTGACGCCATTTTTTGGCGGTTAGACGATTGACAGGATCGGGCAGGATCGGGCAGGATCGGGAAGAATCGGGCAGGATCGGGCAGAATCGGACTAGAATAGAAAAGTTCCATATGGCGAAAGATGACTCGCATAATATCAATTTTTCTTCAAACTAACAGAAGTCCGGCGTATCTTGTACATCACCCTATCATATAAAATGTTTTAATACATTTGGTATCCAATTCTTACTTCACTCTTCAATTCTTCACCCCTTTCAATAGTCTCTTTTTCACATCCCTCTACCTCGCAACCTCCACATATCTTTAATTGAAATCCAAAACTTGTAAGTACTCAGACGGTCAATCGCTAATCTTATCTCATTAACCCTTCAGGTAACAGTTTCAATTAAACTTTCTAAAATTGGTCTTGTCATGTTGAAGTGGACAATGTGGGGTTCCATTTCCTTAGAATAATATTTTAGCTTTGTATTGGAGACGATTGATTGGGCATTCTCGAATCTGTGTCTACGCACCAAAAAGTAGTATTTTGAATATTTTCAGTTGGTAACCATGGCAATCACATGTCCGAAATAAGGATTTTTTAAACACAAATTGATCTCTCTACTAATAATGTAATTGTTGTGTAGTTTATAAATATATATACATGTAATGATGTATTTTTCATAACCAAACTGCTATACCTACCTCTTAAACATGACCAATAATTTCAGAAAAAATGCAAATTAACTGTTTCCTGCTACCATAGTTAATCCTATTTACTCTTTCAATTTCACCCCTCTTCCCTTTCCTTACTACTAACATCACAATCACAACCATTATTATAAAAATGTCCGAATGTGAACAGCTATATGATGCCAGGTACGGTTCGTTTACAGAAATACAGACAGATGTAGAATGAAGACATGGATATGGACACCAAACATTTATCAGCACTAGCACCTTACTAGTAACAAACAGTCCGTCGGACGGGACTTAAAATGGTGACCCGTGTGGGAATGTCCATCTCGCACGATAAAGATCCCTCTGCGATTTTTCGAAAAAGAGCAGGCATGATAACGCCGGTCCAGAGGTTAAGGGTTAGATTAGCAATAAGGACTATTTATTAGGTAAATTTTGATGGACTTCCAAAAGATACATTTAACAAAACTACATCGAAACTCGTATTGTGTAGGATCCCTTTCCTTTTGGTTTTGTTTTGGGTTTATTTGGATTTTTTAGAATATACATGCTATGTGGAATTTTCCATCACAATCCGACCTCTTTTATTCGTATAAAATTGTAAACTCGCATTATTAAGGATTGTTTCTTATTTTCTGTAGCTGCATCGAATTGTATTTACATTGGGGTAAGTACATATTTAACTTGGTGGACGTGCAATCCTTATATTTACACTTGGTCACTTTGAAATTAAAAAAATAAATAAAAAATAAAAAATAATCACCTTATACACATTATTCGAACAGCCGCCCGCTTTATAGAACAGCCAAGTAAATAAAAAAAAAACCACTAGGTGGCGCTGCCGTTGACAAGTACAGTAAACAAAATAGCAGAGTACAATCAACATGTTTTACAATATTTATTTAAATATTTAGACATCTTCTTTTAACTTCAAAAATCAATAGTTCATCATTTACACAATATTCCTCTATCATAGTACAAAAATTCATTATCTAACATCGCGCAGGTATATATCTATAAATACGTGATGAGGCCGCCCGATCAGCTGATCGAAAGAGCGGGAAAACGATGAACATGACACGCAATTTTCTCCATATTGATAATGCTAGTGCGTGTTGTTGAATGTGAACGTGCATCCATGGAAGGATGAGTTAGATAGAAACCCAGATGACATGTTTGACTGAAAGGCTGCAGCAGAATAATTCATACTGAGGTTAGGCGACACAATTCCTATCTCGCGCGCTTAATTCCAACAAGATCGATTTAGGTTTACAGATTGATTTTATTTTTTATTAATTCCATATGTTTTAATGTTATTTATGTAAGGATTGACATTTTTCTTAACTTTTCCGAACGACATAAACTATAATCTCGTTTTGTAGCGTTCGCAACTTGGACAAGTAGTTCTTACATTTTATTTGATATCTATGCGCAAGCCTAATCACCGTACGTAAATATCGAAAATTATTAACATTGGGTTGGACTTACTTCATCTAGAGAGAATGCAACGCAAGTGTAAATATTATGAAATGGCGAGGAATACCATTACATGTCAGAGAAATTGAAAGTATGTATTTGTTTATTTATTTCACATCATGAAATTAGCTAAAGACAATTTTTGAAATGTTAATAAAAAATAATTTTCAAAAATAAACAAATGAAAAATAAAAAAAAAAAAAAAAATGGGTCTCCGTGAAAGCAGGGTCCTCGATCCCGGGACCTGGGCAATGTGGTGATATATTGCTGTTTTAACGACACTATTATATCATTGTAGCTGATGGCTTTCAAATTGTAATTCTTAGATTACGCAGAATGCATTTTAATATCAAGTGTAAGATAGATGAAAAACAAAACATGCCGGTGCACACTATTTCTGTTTTGGCCGTTTTTGATCCTTGTGAAACTATGAAATGATAATATTTTAACTGATATCATTTAACACCACAATAATTACACTAAAAACAATTTAATGCCCAAATTCTACATATAAACCGCCCGATTCTGCCCGATCCTGTAAATCGTCTTTCGGTCCAGTGCGGCACATTACATTATGTGAAAAGAACATAATACTTTTTTAAGCCGTTTTTGATCAATATGAAATTATGATATTTTAACTAAGGTTGTTTAACACTACAATAATTACACGAAAAACAAGTTAATAACCAAATTCTAAATATAAACCGCCCGATTCTACCCGATTCTGTCCGATCCTGTAAATCGTCTTTCGGTCCAGTGCGGCACATTACATTATGTGAAAAGAACATAATACTTTTTTTAGCCGTTTTTGGTTCAGTATGAAATTAACAATATTTTAACTGATATCATTTAACACCACAATAATTACACTAAAAACAATTTAATGCACAAATTTTAAATATAAACCACCCGATTCTGTCCGATCCTGCAAATCGTCTACCCTATCGATCACATTTCTCCACCCTCTCTCTCTCTCTCTCTCTCCCCCCTAAATTGCGATGTCTAACTATATTTTGTTATATATTGGGGAAAGGATGTTTCATAAGTTGTAATAACTTGTACCTAATCCTGTTGTAATAATATTTGCAATAAATATGTTTAATTCAATCATCTTCTTGCGCGGCACAGTACGTTCTGCCAGAAAAATACAATATTTTCGCCATTTTTGGTCAATTTGAAACTTAAATATTTAAATAATGGTCATTTAAAAACAAAATATTTACACAAAGAACAATTTAATGGCCAAACTCTACATATAAACCGCCCGATTCTGCCCGATCCTGTAAATCGTCTTTCGGTCTTGCGCGACCAAATCAGAAATGAGTGTTTTATGTAATACGTCTTCATTTTTCCTTAAAAACTTTTCACAATGTGTAACATATGATGATATCAATGCAAAAGAAATTCATAATCAAAGTACTGCAAGTACTGGTATGCTAAGACCATTAAAAAAATAAATTCTTTGTTATTAGCTTGCTATATACTGAAACCAACTATATGCAAGCAGTAAATCATTGCAGCCAATAAAAAATGACCAGCAGATATCAGAAATAACAAGCATAGTAGTATTACTGATGTAATACATGTCCCAAGTAGGCTCCAAGATGCAATGATAGGGAAGTTGTCCATTTCTTTGGATACATTGTAGGAAATGTTGATCTTGGACACCATATTATCGCTTTAAAAACTGTGTATCTTATTGGTTTAAGACCATTAGTTAGACCATCATGCAAATAACATGCTACATACAAATATTGGACAGCTTCATTTTCCAGATTGTCTGTAAATGACTGCATAAGAATGCCAATTTTCTAAAACAAACATGATATGTCACCATAACTTAAGATAAAAGATGCCTATTCTTTCGGAACACCTGGTCTTATTCTCCTTGTACTTTTTCAGGGAATCTTCAAGTAGATATTGTCTTTGTTTCAATTTTACACTTGTTTTGCTGGTTCTACAATTCTGTTGACATGTTTATATATTCTTTGTTCTCTAAAACTTGTCGCAAGATATTTTATTCCTCTTGCATTATCATTTTTTAACATCCTAACAGTGACCTTGAACCTTGAAATTTGCAAGATGTGAATATCTTTTAGGTTGTGAAAATTGATAGAAAAATGAGGATAATGCAAAGAACACCCCCATGCATCTTTCCGTTTTTTGACTGTGACCTTGATCTTAGACATCTGACCCTGAATTTCTAAAGAAACCGACTTCTCATAAGGGATACATGTTCCAAAATTGATTAAGGTATACTGTCTTAGTCTCAATGCGTTTACAAAGTAATCATATAGTACTTATGCAAGTACTGTGACCTCTACATTCAATCCTCTAAATCATTACTATATCCTCTCCACATTGCCCAGGGATAACTGAAACTGTAATCCAAATGATAACTAATACCCCCAAAACCCACAGCCTTAGCTATCTCCCCATGGTGACCTTTTGCACAGAAACACCCTCTGAAATACAGCGGCATGTGCACGTTCCCCAACATTCCTGCAAAGTTTTGTTGAAATTTGTCCACAGGCTTAGAAGTTGACCGACGAGCAAAACCCGTCTATATTGACCAGTTGCCATGGCAATCAATATTTCGAGGGAAAATGGTGCATGCACATCTACACATTGTCCTGAATATTACTGAAAAGTTTCATTGGAGTTGTCCAGACAAGATGTGTCTACAGACAGACAAACAGATGGATGGACTGATAGACAACCTGATTCCAGTTTACCCACCCTTTTGGTGGTATAAGAATGCACAAGAGTGCTTACAAATTCCATGTGGACAGACATAATGGAAAAATAATAATAATAAAAAAACATGATACAGATGCTTATATCTTGTTTTATTC